TGCAAAAAAATACAAATATATTATTAAAGCTCCTGATTTTACCCTAATATAATTTTTCTTCAAGTGCACAAGCTGAGCGCTGGAAGCGCAGTGAAGCGAACCGCGCCAAGCTGAGCTGGGAATGCTAACTGGAGAACTGGAGCTAAGCCAGGCCGGGATCAGGGTTGAGGGTACTGGAGAAGCTGGGAGGAACGAAGTGGAGGAGCGGCTGAACAGTAGCGCCCGCGGCCCAATAAGTGTGTGAAATAAACAATGTGCACACGTCGTCCCTGTCCCCCCCATCCCCCATTTTGTGGCCCCAACACCCATGTGTTGGCTTGTATGTACATTTTTGTGCTCGACGAGACAACGAAAACAACAAAAAAGTCAAGGAAAAATAAATAAATAAATTGCAACATTGGCAGCATATTTTTACACTTCTCCAAAAAGCCCACGGTCCTGGGTCCAAGTCCAAGGATAGCAGCAAGGATGGATGGAGGCTGAAGAAACTGCGATGATGATGACGAAGGAGAACGCAAAGCAACGCACTTTTAATAAGCAATGCCAAATGGGTTAAATGGGGTATAATTAGATGGACAGCGAGTTGGTAACAATCGCCCAGAGGGAATGAAATGAGTTCTGAGGAGCAAAATGCACACTGATACTTATAATAGGATGTGTATCTTAACACTTGAAGGGGTTAAGAAGAAGATTGGATAATTGTATTATATTATATTATGTACTTGTGCATGCAGGGAACATATATTTATATATATTTAGATTTTATAGGAAATATTATTAACTAAAATAAATTATAGGACCTTGTGTAAAATCCATATTATTTAATAAATAATTTAATAAATGTAATTCAAGTTCTAAAAACTGCTTTGAAATAATAGGTATCCTTAAATTAATATATTCTTCATATAAACTTGGAAAAAATATATGTTTAAAGTACATAAACATTGCTAAAATCAAATATTTGATCAGCTCAAACCTCTTCAGATAAATTCTTATTTTCCTTTACCTAAAAATATATTATTAAACCAATTTAAATACCACATCAAAATGTATCCCATTTTAAATTAAATTATTTCGACTTGAGATCATAGACACAGGGTAGTTGCAATTTCGATTCCTCTCATCGCCTTGGGTTATTTTTGCACATCGTTTATGCGGCCCCCAGCATACCTAGGCGGCAGCATCTTTACCAATTTCCAGCCCCCGAGCCTTCACCACCAGCTTCAGCACCATCTCCATCCCCATCCATGCCCAACTCCATTGCCATCTCCATCTCGGATCGGCGACTCTGTCAGCGCTCCACTTGTGGCGTCTGGTGTGAGAGAAGGATCCGAGGCCTCGAAGCTCGGACCGAGGTCTGCCCTTCGGTTGATATTTATTTTTTGCTGTTTGGGCTGATTAAAACTGAGAAATCCAATTTATTTCAAAATTTATTGTGTCTCACACGCGCTGGGACGTTCAGGAATTGAAAAATATCAATAAAGGCATATGAATTGTTACCCAATAATAAATCAAGTCCGCCAGTCCCCCAGCAAGACAAACAAATATTCCTTTTATTGTTTATATATATGTATAAAAAAAAGCAGCCTGAAAAGGGAAGCATCCTCACCTCTTTTTCACCGTGGTCTGTGGCATTTTTCGCACCGAGCCCCAATGTAGAAGTATTTCAATGTGAAAATCACCGAAAAAGCGGGAGAAAAAAAAAACGAAAAAGAAAACGTGATCAGGCTCCCCAGGTTATGCGGCCCGTGATCATCATTTCATTTCAATTCGCTGTCCCAACTGGAAGACGGCAATTTTCTAAGAAAGACGAAGCGCATACCAAGGAGCCAAACGATTCGAGATTGGCTCCAACTTGGTGTTTCAGAAATATGTGCAAACAATTACGTGCTTCAGAGAACGAGACCGAGTGAAGGAGAGATCTTCTCCTGGATCCAGATCCGTCTGTCTGCCCAGTCTGTGTGTATTTTTTCTCTGATTTTCGTCAATTAGAATGAGCGGCTGAGCAGGGCGCGCTCGCTCCTTAAAGGAAGCTGTGAATGTGCGAAGATTTCTTTTGTACAAGTATATACATATACTCCTGGCTTGGCCCCGTCCTCGGCCTGGGCTTCTTTCTTTTTTTTGGGAAGCCCTGAAACCATCAACGGCAGCTAAAATTAATATACCCGCGATAACTCAACATCAACATCATGCCGGGGCCATGGAGATGGTGATGTGCACTGAAAACGAAGGGTTGTTCGATCAAAAAATTGGGTAATATTTAAGGGTATAACTTAATTAATAATTGTATTATTCAGAAATTCCATAAACAAATTTTGATATAAATTAATTTTAAAGTATTTAGTTGGCAACTATCTAATAGATTTCAATTAAAGTTTTTAAAATAATTAAAAGATTTACTTCACCAAAGGCTTATTTAGCAGAGCTAAGCTAACTAAGGAATAAATTACTTAACTAAAATAAATTATATTAAATTTTTTCAGAGTGTAGGCATCCTCTCTACCCCCTCCCCCAGCCTTAACCCCTCCGTGGGCTTCGCTTTGCAAATTTCTGCCCCACGTTCCAACATCCTGTTTCGTGCCGTTCATCTTGTCTCTCCAATTGTCGGGACCCCGTCTCTTTGTTACCTTTGTTGTTGTTATTATTATTGTTGTTGTTGCTGTTGTTGCTGGCAGCTAGTTAAGCAGTTTCGCGTAAACGTTTTTCCAATATGAGCTCACCAGCTCTCCGGTAAAGGCCGTGCTGCTGGCCGGCCTGTGTGTTTAGGCTGTCTGCAGGGTTGTTATTTTAAAATTAGCACTTTGATTTAAGTTGTCTACACTTCTACACTCTTGGCGGCCCGTCGTCTCTCTAGTTGTTGGCCAAAAGCCCCAAGTCTCAAGTCTACAGCAGCATTTGGGAAAAGGTGTTGAACAGCTGAGTGAAGAAGGGTGGAGGGTTGAAGAGGGGTGGCTGCAACTGCACAACTTGATTGCCGCCACAAAAGGTTGAAGGTTAGGGCAAGATAAACTGTTGTTGATGGTGCCCAGAAAGCCATTATCCACATATCATCGCGCCGGATGATTTCTCAGATGTGTTTTGCAATGTGTTGCGGGGGATCGGCACATCCCAATGATTATGCTGATGGGCTCTACGGACAGTTCCTGGGGAGTAGAAATGCCACGGGATGATGGCTCTGATGATGATGGTTGAGTTGAGTGTCGAATGATTTCGGTTGTGGCATTCGTTTCCTGGTTCCAGATTTTATTAGTCATGGCCTTTTCCCCCATTTCATTTCCCAGGCCTGAGGAAATGCTTCATTTATTTTATTGTTTCCCACTGGCAAGATTCACACCTGCTTTGGCCAGTTGTTGTATTAATTATACAAAAAAATAAGCAAGGAAAGTTTGAGCAATACAAAAAAGTAATAAATACATTTAGAGAGTATCTAAAGCTTATGGCTTATTTCTGGAAATGAAGTTCCTTATGTCTAAGAAACCAATTTCATAAATGCATCTAACCAATTCTGTGAACCAGGGTCATTTCTTGAGTCATTTACTAGGCATTGGCGAATGGCATTTCCCCGTATTCTCCATTATCAGACCAACTTCCTATGCGTTGTACGCACATTGTCGATGTCCGCTATATTCCATTGAGTTGATTAACCCATGAGGCATGTCTCCCCCGGGGTCGGGTGCTGGCGGGGATTGGGCCAGGTGAGAAAGAGCACGTCGCTATGTTCCGAGGCGCCAGCGAGCAGCGCTGAAAGAACCGCATCTGCCGCAATTACATCGCTGAGGTTGGGTTCTGGACACAGAGAGCGTCACGTCTACAGTTCTAGGCCTCGACTTTTCAGATTGGAGTTGGAGCTGAAAATGGTGATCAAGATCGATATGGAGATCGAGATGGAGATGAAGATCTAGTCGCAGTTGCTAATCAACTCGTTTATCGGAGCCAGACGCTCTAGCGTAATCAATCATTGGGCCGAGCTACAAGCGTGTGGACCGGGGCTTATCTGATCCGTAGTTGGGGAGTCTCTCGGCTGGCACGTAAATCGCTTCCGGCGGACTCTGCATCTGGCCTCTTATCACGCGCCTAATTAAAATCATCTTAAACAAGCCGTCGCTCTCTTTTAAAGTTGAAAGTTTTCTAAAAAAAAAAATGAAATGTGTTTAATTATTGCACTTAAAGATTCGAATTTTCTTAGGTATATTTTTTGTAATGGTAAAGTTATTTAAAATATTTTTAATTTACCAGAAATAGAATACATTTTTTGTAAAATTCGGCAAATATAAATTCTAGAAAAACCAAAATCCCAGAAGAATATTTTACTATTTCAGTTTTTTAATAAATTAATTATTTTTAAATGCATTTTGGCACAGAAGAAATAGTTTGGAATTTATTATTAACATGAAAACCTTAAAATTCTAATCTAAAAGTCATCGCACTTGCATTTTAAAAGCCATATAATAGCTTTAAATATTAAGATAAGGCGAGCTTTTCATACTCTTACAGGGTACTATAGTATATATGAGCAGAAGCTTGTCACACTGTAAGGAAGATAAGAAAAATACGTGTATACCCTATAGTTACAGTGTGTTTTATGTGCTTTTAAATATGCTAAAACTTTTTTTGAAATTTGATCAAGATTTTCCGTCTTAAAGTTACACTCTTGCAGTTTGTTGATAAATATACGTGCATATATTATTTGTCAAACTTATTAAACAAACATAATAAAGATAGTTTCTATGACCACCCTTTTGATTAAGGCCTTGATGACTTTATTTAATCTATTTTATTTTAAGTTACAGATATATACATATATATTATATTATTTATTTATTTTTTTAAAGCTGTATCGAAAGAAATCACTAACAGCAAAGGGTATACAAACGTCGACTTGCTAAATCCATATTAAATTTGTTGATTGCAGAATTAAAATGCTTATTTTAGTATCACCTCGACAACTGCGTCGATTTTCCGCTGCCAGTGCGGCGTATTTTCAACAAAATAAAAAAAATATGAGCCAACCTAGAATCTTTGACCTGACCCTCTATTGTTGGTTCGAGATATTTAAACATATCAAACTAAGCTGCGAGACAACCGACAGCCTAAAAGGCAGATATAACCTGGTCAAGTACTTGGATCTCATCAACTTTGCCATAACTCTTGAGTGCATAACAGAAGCTTTCAAGGAATGGAGCCCGCAGCTCTACGAAGAACTTGACATCGAGAACACCTTTTTAAATAGTTCGCCCTGGATAACAATCGATTTCAGCAGTCGTTATGAGGCCTTGCAGAAAATTTCGGAAAAGGACAAGGATTTATTTTGGAAATCCTTCTTCAGTGTCATCGAGGAGAATGAAAAGCTGCAAAGCGTAACCCTCAGATATGAGCCAAAGCAGTTCTACCCAGACCATTTCGATAGATTCGCGGCCTTAGTAAATGCACTCAAAGATAAGAAAACCCTTACACATTTGGACATTAAAATGCAGGGTGAGTTTTTCTGCAAAATACATTATAGTTTCGACTTTTAAATACCCCTGAGTATTGTAGGCTATACCTTTGAGAATTTTCCAAAGTTGAGCAACTTGAGAGACTTATGTCTCAATGTGCGTATGAATGCTGATGATCTGATCGAGTTTTGTAAATCAAATCCAAAGCTACGCTCCCTCGAATTTAAAAGTACTGAGCTATATGGACGCTTGGCTGATATTGTGCCTTATTGCAACAGTCTGGAGAAGCTGACCTTTACGCCGAAGCCCGAGGTGGATGCCGTGGAATATGCCCCATTGGCCAAGTTACCGCGACTCGAAAAACTAAGTCTGATTGGACACCACCAAGAGGGTACGCTCGTTAACTTGTTCAAAGGCCTCAAATTGAAGAACTTGGAAAGAATATTAATCCCGGACATTTTCCTTAGTAAGGAGGAGACTCAAACGCTGGCCGAAATAAATTCTTTAATTATGATCAAAAGTGCCTTTAGGAATATACCGAGTATTGTAAATTTGGCAAAGCTTCCAAGGCTACAATATCTATCTGTTAAAACTCAATCAGGGCAATCTGATTTATTAGAACCCTTAATACCTTTAGTAACCAGGACCTGTGTTGAAATCATATCAGATTCCTTTGGATTCCTTATGTTGTTTACCGAGGAAGATGGTGTCCTCCGTTTGAAATTTGATCTTCCTAAAGATCTTGAAGAAGATGGAAGTACACGCGAACGTGATGCTTTAATATCTCGTTTTATAGTTTATCTTTGCCAGCGATTAGATATAAGCCAACTGATTTTAGTCGGAGATTTTAGCATTATCTTAGGACAAACAATGTTTCATACTTTAGCTTCTAAGAAGCCACAAATTCTGCAGAAACTTGTATTCATGCGGGATAGTCCCCCAAGCGTGGAGGAAGCTAATGCACTTGCCGCCATTCGATCTTTATCGCTCACACTTTGCAAGTTTAAACATATGGAACGTATAATGGCAATAAAGATACAGCAACTCAATGGGCTTACAGAAAAAGCCAAAAGAGTTGATAAAATCAAAACTGAACAGGTGGAAATTCGCTTTATCCATGACAGCAATGATAAAGTGACGCTAACTTTTGACTTTCCCGGCATTGAAATTGACCACCGCATCTTTGCTCCCCTAAAAAAATTGCATAAATTGAGAAGAGTTGAGGTCAAAGGGAATCTGAGAGATGGTTCTTTAGGAACCCTCTTTGAGAGTTTGGCTTCCCAAAATCTTCAGGAACTTCAAATCCCCATAGTTGACCCCGAAGAGCTTCGGGCTTTGTCACAAATCAATAGCTTAAAAGTCCTAAGCTGTGGCTTATACTGCTCTCGAAATATAGAAAATCTGGCCGATTTGACACAACTCGAGTCCCTTACCTTAACCGTTCATCCCAAAGGCTCTTTGAAAACCCTGTTCGAGTTGCTGGCCTCCAAGGAAGATCATGTACTCAAAAGTCTAAATATTCAGAATATTGTACTCACAGTTGAAGAGATTTACCAAGTAAGTCGCATTAAATCCTTGGAGAGCGTTTCAATGGGTCAAAAGTTTACCAAACTGAATCCTTGGGTTACAGAAAAGTGCCTAAAACGACGAAGTTGCCAAAAGTGTTTAGCATCTCCTGAAAAACCCATTGATCAGCCACATGATACGAAACTCGAAACAAGTTGTAGTCAAAACATAAATGAGGCCGAGTTGGTTGCTTCTAAATACTCGGATGTTTTTCAGGGATATTCATCAAAGAGTGCCAATAACTGGGAACTCTTGGCCGATCTGCCCCATCTAAAGGAACTAAGCCTAAATACCTCCTTTAAGGTCGAGTGCCTGCAAAATCTTTTAAAGAAATTATCTCATCAGAAACTCTCCAAGTTTTCCCTCACTCTTTATCCCGAGCGTCCCGAGGATGAAGAGAGTCTATATCAGATTATTGAACAAATTGGTCTTCTACAAAATCTAACAGATTTGTACTTGGAGAACTCTGAAGGATATGTTTTAAGTGATCTCTTGGACTTACTTCAGTCTTCCTTGCTACTCCGAAGCCTTATGCTGAATAGAACATATATTGATCACGAGGAAACTCTAAAAGTTGGTCGAATGAAAAATCTTGAAAAATTGCTGGTGGGATTTTCCAATGAAGATAGCTTTCAGGTGCTCACAAAATTAACTGAGCTGAGGGATTTGCATATAAATTCACCTCACGAAAATATTGTAAACAAAATAATGCCCATTTTAAGAACATGTAAAAAACTCAAAAATATATTTCTTACTCAAAATTTGAGTCAGCAGTTCATAGATTCCTTATTAGAAACTCTTAAATCAGTGAGGGAGCCCAGCATTCAGGGTCCTTTGATACTCAAAGCTCAACCAAAGGATTCAGATTTTCCAGTAGAGGTAAGTAAATATTATTCATATGTTTATATTTATATATTTTCATATTTATATTTTCTTATGATTTATTTTAGTTAAACATACTTGATTTAACTTATTTAAACATTGAACAAGATGAAGGCTTTCAGGACACAGAAGGTTTGGAAATTGCAGCCATGACACTTTGGACTCGTTGGTGGTAGAAAATAATAGGTAAAATCTTTATTTTATTTATTAATATAAAAATTCTCATTATATATAAAAGTTTCTTCTTCTCTACACTCAGTAAACGAAATTTTCAACTGAAATTAAAACGAAACAACATAAAATGTCCGAGAGCCATTAAAATGCATTCGAATCGAAACACATTTCATTACTAATCAGAGCGATAGCCGCCGGAATGCTCATGCATTTTTAATGCCCCCATTTTGTGGCCGGAAGGAAGCTCAACACGTAAACGTGTTAATATGGACAACACAATCTATTAATTTGTCAACAATAAAGTAAGACAGCGACAGGCGACATCGTTCCCGAATGAGAGCATTGATTGGCGACACCGGACCAGGATGGGCTCTCTCTCTTGACTCCATCTTCATCTCCATCTCCAGTTCCATCTCCATCGGGGAGCCCGGCCAGCTTGTTGTCAGCACAGCAGGTACGAAATTAATATGCGAGCAACAATTAAGATAAGCGCGCAAAGTTGTGAAGTGGCTGCTGCGAGGAGGGCGCAGTCGGTGGCCCCAATTGAGGTTGTCCGGCGGAGCGAGACCACAGCAGCCGCCAATGACTAAGGCGACAACAAGCTGGCAAGTCGGCAAGTTGGTGGAAAAAAAAAAACAAAAAACCACCGCCAGAGAAGACACCAAGTCACAGAGAGAGAAAAATATATCACAAAAATCTGTCAACAGTTTGGTATTTCCTATTGATTTTTACGAATCCAATATATGGAGATTTATACACAAAAAGTAATCTTAAAAACTTGGAAATACTCTTTTAATTTCACTAAAATTTAATCTAAAGTTTTGTTATTATTTTGTTAATATTTATTTCTAAAAAAGAGACATTGATCTATGAAAAATGTAGAAGAAATACACTTCAAGTATAGTGTTTATATTTATTTAATTTAATTTATTGTAATCCTTATAAAATGTATAATATTTCTTCCTTAGTTTATCAAATATTTTCCTTTGTGTACAGAAAAAACGGAGAAGAGCCAGACTTGATCGCACCTCGCCAACTGCTTCCTCTCACTGCAGACTCTGCGGTAGCCCGGGAATACAACAAAAAAATACAGAAACTACAACAACAGCAGCTAAAATATTTTATATAAGTTGGAAAAAAAATTTAACCACATCCATTAAGCAAGACCTTGATGACAAACGGCGGCAAGTCTTTCGTGCGATAATAATAAGTATTCATTTCAGATACAATTTTTTGGTTGCTTCTTGCCTTTAGCAGCGGTTTTCTGGCTTTTATTAATTTTGTTTTTTTATTTTTCATGTTGTTTTTTGGTATGTTTATACCTATAATAAAAATTGAAGCTGCCCTTTAACTGATTGCCGATTAGTTTTGGGGAAAGAAAAGACGATAGGTTTTTTTTATTTTTTAAGCGAAAGTGAAATGAGATAATTTCTATTAAAAGATTTTATGGGATTTTTTGTTTTTATTAAATGTTGCAAAGTTAGTTGAATAAAGAGAAATCTTGTACAAATTGTTGCATAAAATTGCCAAAATGTTTAGCTTACGTTCATGGTAGTCTTGCTCTTCAATAGTATTTTATTATTATTTTATTTTGAATGGAGTTTTAGTTTTTCAAATCAAATTGACTTGGCAATTTATTACTACATTTATTTCCTCTTCCACAACCCCTCTTCCTCAACCCCTCTTCCCTGTCATTCTATTTCAATTTTCGTAAATTTTCCACTCGAATTTCCCCCGTTTCATATCTAACCGACAATCGTAACACGATCATTCCCAATTAGAGCTTGGCTTTTCCAAAAATAAACCGAATTGCAATCGATTAAATTGAATCCGATTCAATTATGTGAACCATCTGCGTGCGGGGACTGAATGAATGGATGGATGGGCGTGTGAAATGATTGTTGTGTTAATTTTCGCATATGACACCGACGACCAACGCCGACGACAGGGAAATTCGAGCATTTTATGCGGTTTATTGGCTTTGATCGATTGAAGGCGTCGTCGATGAATTTTTTCATATCTGCGGATCGAGTTTCCTTGACAGCTCATTCAGTGCGGTTTTTTATGTATATTTTTTTTTTGGTTGAAATATTTGGTGGCGATTTAGCAGGCCCGTCAATTACCGCTAGCCACCTGATGACAGTTGCAATTAAAAAGCGGAGACACGAAAACCCAAAACCCAGACAAGGGGGTAGAAATACCCGTAGTTGGCCAGTCAACATGGATGGATGCCTGTTAATAGACATGTAAACTGCAATTAAAACAAGCTAATGGGGCGGGGCCGACTCCAAAATATTTTGACTCGCTTAGTTTGCTGTCTCGGCTGTGTTGGCCTTTTCTTTAATTAAAATATTTAAGCACGCAAATAGGCCTGTCTCTCCTCCATCTGCCTTTCGGCCAGGCTATATCCCGTCTGCCCCTATATGTTATTAGCCACGTCTACGTTGGTACCTCCTTAACGGGGGAGATCTGCGGGAAAACTCAACTGGGCGTGTCCGCCTCGGAACGGAGCTGCTGCGGCTTTAATCAAAGTTTTTGCCAGCGGGGAATCAATCATTTGAAATTTAAACGTCATCGTGCGTCGGACAACTCATAAGACAAACCAACAGTAACAGCGGGGCGAACCAGCTAGCCCAGGTTATACCATCTGGCGATGGAAACGTGAGAGCTAAATGGCTAATTTTTTGGCAAAAAAAAAGGTTGGGAAATTCTAGGGAGATTGTTTAAAGTATACTTTGTTATACAACAATATTGTAATTAATAGATTGAATAGTTGAAAATAAAAATACATATGGAAGTAGTGAGTTTTTTCCGTAATCATATTTTAAAAAAATATTTTGAATTATTTCAAAGAGTTTTATTACCACAGAAAATATTTAGAAAATATATAGAAATATTCCTATATGAAACAATATTAAAAAACATGTTTAAGCCCAGTAAAATTATTAAGACAGGCCTAATTTATATCATTTCCCTTGGAAATTAATTAATAGAAAAATATTTAGTGCTAGGAGAATAATAAATCTAGATAGAAATGTTCCGAATTTAAACTATAATTTATATACCAAGAACTGTAATTAATCAATTATAAATTCTATTTAAGAAAATAACTAATACTGTTTTATTTAAAATAAAATAAAACATTATATTTCCCAGGCTTGCAGCATAAGGAAATTGCAACAAAAATATTTACAAATAAAATATATATAAATTGTATTTTAAATGTATAAAAAATATAGAATATAAAATAAATAATACAACTTATTTCCTAAAAATAAATTCACGTTACCATCACCAACTCCTTGTAACCGATTGTGGCGTGTCCGAGTTTTTAGCGAGTCGCCTCCCAGGCCCAGAAAAAAAAAATATACAGACAAGATACAACAACTTGGACCCAGTAAAGCCAAAAACCTCTGGCCAACGCAATCACAAAAAACATTTTTCTTTCGCTCAAGATTTGTATTATTTTTTTGGTGCTTTTCTGCGAGTATTTCTGACCGCCTGGCCGGCCTGTCTTCATGTCTGGGCCGGAGGAGCTTGGTTAATGAATGCCAAAAGCGAAATTAATGCGTGTGGGGCCAACGCCATCAGCAGCGCCCCCAGCTTATCACTGTCAGGCGATCTAAGCTGGAACTGGAGCCCGCTTTTGAGCCAAGTTGATCCGTCGTCGGTACGATGTTTCACCCGAATTTATTCGCCAAATATCTATACGAATTTATTTGATTCGACTCATGGGAAATTTATGCGCCTGTCGTCCGGCCTTTTGTGTGTGCGCGCTGCCTGCGCATAGATTTTTAATAAGTGATAAACATTTGAAATGACAATTTTAAAGTCGATTAATTAATTAAATGGCAATTGAAAATGCCGAAAAACACGTCCACGGAAACATGATGGCACAATAAAATACACAAATTGATTGATTTTCAGCTTTATACGCATTTATTATAATTTTGTTCTTGTTTTTGCCTTTTGTTTTTGTTTTTCTGGTTAGCTTTTTGTGTTGAAAATTAATGCGAATATTTTTGAGAATTGGTTTACGGCCGGTGTTATCTTGAATAGGGAAATTGAGAATGGATGAATTTTTGGTTAAATTATGGCCCTGCTTATGGCTTGACATTTTCATGACACGATTTCGAATTCAGAGATAACATAAATTGAAGTAAATTAAATGAAACGCTGATAAGATAATTATTCACACTGCAGGGGAGTTGGTGTTCTTCTCTGGCAAAAAAGTGTGTTTAATGAGATATGTTTGTTTTTTTTAGTTTATTAAGATATCTACTAAAAGATAGTCTTGGCACAAAAAATTAAATTCAAAGTTAGCAAAAAACACATAAGGTTTTTTTTGTGAAATGGTTAAGCTGGAAACGTGAGATATATATGTTTTTCTCATACACCTGCCACAGTGAAAAATAAGTAATAAAAAACAGAAGATATTCTGGGTAAAAATGTTGCATAACATATTTTTATCTTTGGTTTTTTATGCTTAAATGAAGTATAAATAGTGAATAGTATAAATATTATAATAAGTTTAAATAAGTAAATAATATAATATAAAAAGCATGGGAAAGAATGATCCTTAAAATTCTCAAGTAGGAGTTCAGTGACAATTTTTTTTTTTAATATTCTTTCTAAATAAATAAATTAATGTTGTTCGTATTATTTCTTAAACACTAATCAATTAATACAAAACCTAAAAGCTCTTTTTCTATCTCTTTGAATCAGGACCCCCAACAATTAATAAATAAACCCAAATTACACTTAAACCCTGATCGTTTCACAAGCTTACTTTCAATTTTTTGTATAGCCCAGTTAACGATGCATGGAATATGCCACTTAACTGAACCCCCCAAAAAATAAATATAAAAATAAAATTACAATCACACGCCCAGTCAGTCAGCCCCCCCTTAAAACAATCATGATGGATTGGAAAAGTCTTTAACTTTTCGTATTATTTCGCTTCCCATGGAACGCCTTTTTATACGCGCATAGTTCAATAGTTTGAACTCTTTTTAATTGATCTTGATTAATCGCACACCACACACACATACACTGAAATAAATACCAAGGAGGCGGCAGGCGGCAGGCAGGCTCCCCATATCGAATCGGAAGCCCGACCATTAATTACGCTTTAATTACCAGCCGAAAAACCAGGGGAGAGAAAAAATACAAACAAAAAACGCATGGGGAAAAAAACCTTAATAGTTTTCGCCTTATCAGCATAGAGTTTCGCTGGCCAGCACTCCTAATTTCATTAGTTTAATGGCACAAAACTGTGGAAAAACCAACAAGAGGGCAGCCGAACCGATGGCTTTGGCTACCAAACTACGCAAAACGTGACGGCGCTGCTACAAACAAACGAACAACAAAAAATTGTTAACAATTGTGAGAATAAATTGCTAAATAATTAAGTGGATCAACGGCCGGACCGGGCCGAGCAACTTGAGAGAGATCTCAGACTCCAAATTGCATATGATTAATTAAAGGAAATAAAATGCTGACGACGGACGACGACGGGGCCACTAGAGAACCACCAGAGAATGAGTAGCAGGAAAATAAGAGCGAGGCGAACGAAAATCTTTTTCTTTAATTAATATTGAAGTGAACCGAACCGAAGTTCAGTAGCGAACCGACAGCGGCAGCAAAAAAATAAAAAAAAATATATATAACTCGTACAAAAAACAAAGACAGGAGGCGTTTTTCAACTCATTAACGTTCAAACGAATTCATTTGCATATCTCTACCTGCCCCAAATTAATATTCCATGGCTTCAGCATTCTTCTCTTTTCTTCTGTGTTTTTTTTATTCCGTAAATTTGAAACGCTTAAGAAACGAGCTGAGAAATGGTCTCACACAATTTGAACTGCAACACACTGGCACTGCCACAGCCACTGCCAAAGCCACTGCCCCTGCCTCAGTTAACTTCCCCCCGCCGATTCCCTTATTTTCGTTCAGTTTCTTTTGTCTAAATGATTTTTATTAACATTTTTTGCGTCAGGTATTCGAGTAGAGGGACACGCATTTGCTGTGTCACTGCAGTGGAGTGTGTCAGTGCAGCCAACTTGGAAAATTTTTGGTTAAAAAATGGGTGAACCTATCCTGAATATGACTTTCTAGAGTTTGGTTTACTATATAGTAGGATTTAAAATATTAAAAAAAATAATAATAATAATTTTTATATGATAAAATCATTTTTGAAAGTAAAACCTACTTCAAATTAATCCCTATTTTATCAAGTAAAAAATTCAGTAAATAAATAAATTATAAGTCATAATAAATTTTATAAAAAATGGAAACAAAAATTTACAGATAAAAATTAAAATATTTTTTTAAA